GGGGCCTCTACCTATTTTGCAGAGTGAAGGCCAGCAGTGGAGGCTGGCTGGGCCTCTATCCATTTTGCAGAGTTGAAGCCTGGTGGTGGAGGCTGGCTGGGCCTCTACCCATTTTGCAGAGTGAAGGCCAGCAGTGGAGGCTGGCTGGGCCTCTACCCATTTTGCAGACTGAAGGCCAGTGGTGGAGGCTGGCTGGGCCTCTATCCATTTTTTAGAGTGAAGGCCGGTGGTGGAGGCCAGCGGGGCCTCTACCCATTTTGCAGAGTGGAGGCTGGCAGTGGAGGCTGGCAGGACCTCTATCCACTTTACAGAGTGAAGGCCAGCAGTGGAGGCTGGCTGGGCCTCTACCCATTTTGCAGACTGAAGGCCAGCAGTGGAGGCTGGCTGGGCCTCTACCCATTTTGCAGACTGAAGGCCCGCAGTGGAGGCTGGCTGGGCCTCTACCCATTTCGCAGAGTCGAAGCCCGGCGGTGGAGATCCTTCTATAATATTTTTATTGAGGCTAGTTTCTTCTATATTTTTTTTAAGTGACACAGGGTCTCACTCTTTGCTCAGGCTGGCCTCCCAACTCCTGACCTCGAGCGACCTCCCGCCTCGTCACCCCGAGTTAATTTTTTATAATATATACTAATATTTTTTTTAGTTGTCCAGCTCAATTCTTCTATTTATAGAGACGGGTCCGCTCTTGCTCAGTGGCTCGACCTCCCGATCGAGCGATCCTCCCTCCTCGGCCTCCCCAACCCGCCCCGGCCGCTGGTGAAAAGGCACGATGACGACGACACGGGAACAGCATTCCCGGAGGGGGAAAGGAATGGCACACCGCCGACTGGCGTTGGGGGCGTTCTGGGCTCCCTCACTAGAAAACGAGCCACCGTGGGGAGGCCGAGTCTCCTTCGTGCCAAACACGCGGTCACTTGGCCACCGGGCCCCAGCAGGGAGGAACGAGACGGGTCGCCCGCAGCAGGAACGACCGAGGATTAAACGAAGTGAAGGCCGGTCGGGAGGCCGACTCGGAGGCCGGTGAAGGCCCGTGACAGGGTCTCGCTTCGGCAGGCCTGTTCACCTCGAGTACCGGTGATCGCGGGAGGACTTGGCGCCCCGGTGCACGGCCGCGCGAAGGCAGGCCCCCCTCACCTCGACGCAGCCCAAGCTGAACTCTATCCCCGCGAAACCGCCCAGAGCCCCGACGGCCCCGACTCGCGGCAAGGAGCCCGCCGCGGCGCCACACCTCCACCGCGCCCGCCGACGCCAGGGAAGCGCCGGCCTCCCGCCGCGGAGCCAGGAGCGTGCGGCGCGCCCGGGCCCGGCCGCCAGGTGGGCCGCCTCATTTACCCCGCGGTTCCCCCGTGCCACTCTCCTCTGCCTCAGTTTACCGCAGTCCGGGTTCGCGTCCTCCACCTCTCTGCCTCAGTTTACCCCGCGGTCCTGGTTTTCCGCGTGCCCTTCCTCTCTGCCTCAGTTTACCCCCTGCGTCCCTGGGGTCTTCCGCGTGCTCCCTCTCTCTGCTCCAGTTCCTCTGCAGTCCCGGGGCTTCCCGCGCCCTCTCTCTGCCTCAGTTTCCCCACCGGTCCAGGGGTCTTCCTGCGTGCTCCCCTCTCTATGCCTCAAGTTTCCTCCGCAGTCCCGGGTCTCCGCTGCCCCTTCTCTCTGCTCAGTTCCCCACGCGTCCAGGGTCTTCCTCGTGCTCCCCTCTCTCTGCTCCAGTTCCCCGCGTCCGGTCTTCCCGCGTGCCCTTCCTTGCCTCAGTCCAAGCTCCGGGTTTTCCGTCCCTGCTCTCAGGAGCCTCAGTTTAACCCCAACGGTCCCCGTGGTTTTCACGCGTGCCTCTCTCCTCTGCCCAGTTCCTCTGCGTCCCAGGTTTTCCCGCATGCTGGCCTCTCTCTGCCATTTCCCAGGTCGGGTCTCTGACTGCTCCTCTCTGCCTCAGTTTCCCCCCGCAGTCCCGGTTTTCCCACGTGCCACCCTCTCTCTGCCTCAGTTTTACCCCCCTCGCGGTTCCAGTTTCCGCGTGCCGCCTCTCTCTGCCTCAGTTTACCCCCCCACGGTTCCGGGGTTTTCCCACGTGCCCCTTCTCTCTGCCTCAGTTTCCCCCCGCGGTCCCGGAGTTTTTCCCGTGCTCCCCCTCTCTGCCACCCTCAGTTTACCCCCGTGGTCCGGGGTTTTCCCGGCGTGGTACCCTCTCTCTGCTCAGTTTCCGTCACGCGTCCCGCGTGCCCCTCCTCTGCTCAGTTCCCCACGCGGTCCCGGCGTTTTCCCGCGTGCTCCCTCTCTCTGCCTCAGTTTCCCCACCACGTCCCGGGGTTTTCCCGTGTGCCCCTCCTCTCTTGCCTCAAGTTTCCCACCCGGTCCGGGTTTCCGTGTGCCCCCTCGTCCTCTGCTCAGTTTCCCCCCCACGGTCCCAGGGTTTTCCCGAATGCCCCCTCTCTCTGCCTCAGTTTCCCCCCCGGGGTTCCAGGGTCTCGTGACTGCCTTGTCTCTGCCTCAGTTTACCCCCGCAGTCCCGGGGTCTTCCCGCGTGCCCACTCTCGCCTCATTTCCCCCCGTGGTTAGGGTTTCGCGCGTGCCCCCTCTCCTCTCTGCCTCAGTTCCCCACGGTCGGTTTTCCCTGTGCCCCCCCGTCTCCCTCTCTGCCTCAGTTTCCCTTGCGGTTCTGGATTTTCGCGCCTGCCCACTCTCTGCCTCAGTTTCCCCGCAGTCTGGGGTTTCGCGTGTGCCTCTTCGTCTCCCCTCGCCTCAGTCCCCCGCGGTTCTGGAGGGGCACGCAGGCGGACTGAAGATAGACTCTCAGGTCGGGACGAAACAGAAATAGAGGCCGGGACGCAGCCCGCACTAGGACCCTTAGAACACTTCGCGCGTCCAGGCGAGACGGGAGGCTGAGAACCGGAGGCCGAGACAGTGCGGGGGGGGGCGGCGCTCCAATCGGTCTGTTGACCCAAGAGGGCAGGCGGGGTCACCGCAAGTAGCTCAGACCTCGGGAGGCTGGTGTGGAGCTGGCGGGGCCTCTATCCATTATTGCAAGAGTGGACGGCTGGCAGTAGAGGCCGGGTGGCCTCTACCCTATTTGCAGGTGGAGCCTGTGTGGAGCTGGCTGGCCTCTACCCATTTTGCAGATGAAGGCACCATGAGGCTGGCTGGCCTCTACCCTTTTGCAGAGTGAAGGCCAGCATGAGGCTGCTGGGCCTCTATTCCATTTAGCAGCACGAAGGCCACAGTGAGGCTGGTGGGCCTCTACCCATTGATGCAGATGAGCCTGAGTGGAGGCATGTGGGGCCTCTACCTATTGCAGAGTGAAGCCACAGTGGAGCTGGCCTGCTCGTATCTGCATTTTGCAGAGTTGAACCTGGTTGAGGCTGTCTGGCCTCTACCCATTTTGCAGATGAAGGCTGGTGTGGAGGCGGCTTACACATTTTGCAGGTGAACCCGGCGTGGAGCTGGCGGGGCCTCTATGCATTTAGAAGTGAAGGCCACAGGGAGGCTGGCTGGCCTCTACGCCATTTTGCAGAGTGGAGCTGTGGTGGGGCTGGTGGCCTCTCTCCATTTTTCAGACTGAAGGCCAGCAGTGGAGGCTGCTGGGGCCTCTACCCATTTTCAGAGTGGAGCCTGTTGGTGGAGCTGGTCACATGAAGCTCAAGGTGCTGGGCCAGGACTCCATCACGCTCACCTTCAGCTACCTCAACGAGACGGTCACGCTCGGAGTCTCGGCCGCCAGCTGTCCCCACGGCTCGGCCCACGACAAGCGGGTGAGGCGGCCCCCGGCCTCCCTCCCCGGTCCTCAACCCCGTGGGCCTCCCTCCCCCAGCCTCCCCTTCTGCGGGCCACGGTTTTTTCCCCCCCTCCCGCGCGTGGCGGGACGGAGAGATTTCCCGGAGGGCGGCGTCAGGAACGGCTCGATCCAGGCGCCCGCATGATTCCATCCGTTTCTTCACCCCATTTTTCCTCTCCGTCGGGTTTATTCTCAGAGAATTTGTGTCTTTTCGGTGACGAGGCCGCCGAGAAAACGTCCCCCGGGGCCGAGATTCTCCCGGGTTTAGTGTCCCCGAGAGAGGGAGGGCGGCGTCAGGAACGGCTGGATCCAGGCGCCCGCACGATTCCGTCTATATTTTCTCGCTCCGTTTTTCCTCTCCGTCGGGTTTATTCTTGGGGAGTTTCTCTCTCTCTCTCTGGTCGGTGACGGGGACGCCAAAAAAAAAAAAAAAACGTTCCCCGGGGTGTGGGGGAGGGGGATCCTTCCGGCTTCACCGTCCCCGGGAGAAAGACAGAGAGAAGACTCAGTCTTAAAAACACACAAACACAAAAACACACAAACACAAAAACACAAAAACAAAAACACAAAAACAAAATCAAGAAAACAAAAAAACAAAAACACAAACACAAAAACAAAAACCAAAAACACAAAAACAAAAACAAAATCAAGAAAACAGAAACAAACACAAAAACAAAAACAAAAAACAAAACCAAAACCAAAACAAAAGCAAAAACACAAAAACACAAAAACAAAATCAAGAAAACAAAAACAAAAAAACAAAAACAAAAACAAAAATAAACAAAACACAAAAACACAGAAACACAAAAACAAAAACAAAAGACAAAACCAAAAAAACAAAAACAAAAACACAAAAACAAAAACACAAAAATACAAAAACAAAACAAAAACAAAAAACAAAAACAAAATCAAGAAAACAAAAACAAAAAAACAAAAACACAAAAACAAAAACAAAATCAAGAAAACAGAAACAAACACAAAAACAAAAACAAAAACAACAAGCCGGCTGACTTTGAGGACAAAAGCGAACGAAAAAAAATAAAAATAAAAAAAAACCCAGTTGGAACCCGGGGCACGGAGGGGACGGACGTGGGTGACCCCGGGAGGCCCCGGCGACCTCCACCCCACCCCACCCCCCCGGCCTCCAGCCTCCCCGTCGGCCTCTACCCCCCAGCCCAACCGCGGGGCCGCCGTGGACGAGAAGGTGTGCAAGATGACCCGGGCGCTGGCCGACATCAAGAAGCGCTTCCAGAGGACGGTGACCCAGTTCATGAACTCCGTGCTGCTCGCCGCAGGTACGCGGAGGCCGGGAGGCCGTGGCGGCCTCCCTGGAGGCCTCCCGAACCCCCGGGGTGTCCCCGGGGCCACTCGGGTCAAAGGGCGGTTGTTTCTTCTTCTCTTTTGGAGGCCGAGTCTCGCTCTGTCGCCCGGGCTAGAGTGAGCGCCGTGGCGTCAGCCTCGCTCACTGCAGCCTCCGACTCCTGGCCTCCAGCGAGCCTCCTGCCTCGGCCTCCCTCCCGAGTAGCTGGGACTACAGGCGTGCGCCTCCACGCCCGGCTCATTTTTTTTTTCTCTCTATATATTTTTAATTGTTTAGCTCATTTCTTTCTATTTTTTAATAGGAAAAAAATGAATTGCTCAGGCCGGCCTCGACCTCCCGACCTCGAGCAATCCTCCCGCCTCGGCCTCCCCAAGTTAATTTTTTATTTATCTATCCTTCTATAATATTTTTATTGAGGCTAGTTTCTTTCTATATTTTTTTTAGTAGACACAGGGTCTCACTCTTTGCTCAGGCTGGCCTCCCAACTCCTGACCTCGAGCGACCTCCCGCCTCGTCACCCCGAGTTAATTTTTTATAATATATACTAATATTTTTTTTAGTTGTCCAGCTCAATTCTTCTATTTATAGAGACGGGTCCGCTCTTGCTCAGTGGCTCGACCTCCCGATCGAGCGATCCTCCCTCCTCGGCCTCCCCAACCCGCCCCGGCCGCTGGTGAAAAGGCACGATGACGACGACACGGGAACAGCATTCCCGGAGGGGGAAAGGAATGGCACACCGCCGACTGGCGTTGGGGGCGTTCTGGGCTCCCTCACTAGAAAACGAGCCACCGTGGGGAGCCGAGTCCTCCTTCGTGCCAAACACGCGGTCACTTGGCCACCGGGCCCCAGCAGGGAGGAACGAGACGGGTCGCCCGCAGCAGGAACGACCGAGGATTAAACGAAGTGAAGGCCGGTCGGGAGGCCGACTCGGAGGCCGGTGAAGGCCCGTGACAGGGTCTCGCTTCGGCAGGCCTGTTCACCTCGAGTACCGGTGATCGCGGGAGGACTTGGCGCCCCGGTGCACGGCCGCGCGAAGGCAGGCCCCCCTCACCTCGACGCAGCCCAAGCTGAACTCTATCCCCGCGAAACCGCCCAGAGCCCCGACGGCCCCGACTCGCGGCAAGGAGCCCGCCGCGGCGCCACACCTCCACCGCGCCCGCCGACGCCAGGGAAGCGCCGGCCTCCCGCCGCGGAGCCAGGAGCGTGCGGCGCGCCCGGGCCCGGCCGCCAGGTGGGCCGCCTCATTTACCCCGCGGTTCCCCCGTGCCACTCTCCTCTGCCTCAGTTTACCGCAGTCCGGGTTCGCGTCCTCCACCTCTCTGCCTCAGTTTACCCCGCGGTCCTGGTTTTCCGCGTGCCCTTCCTCTCTGCCTCAGTTTACCCCCTGCGTCCCTGGGGTCTTCCGCGTGCTCCCTCTCTCTGCTCCAGTTCCTCTGCAGTCCCGGGGCTTCCCGCGCCCTCTCTCTGCCTCAGTTTCCCCACGCGGTCCAGGGGTCTTCCTGCGTGCTCCCCTCTCTATGCCTCAAGTTTCCTCCGCAGTCCCGGGTCTCCGCTGCCCCTTCTCTCTGCTCAGTTCCCCACGCGTCCAGGGTCTTCCTCGTGCTCCCCTCTCTCTGCTCCAGTTCCCCGCGTCCGGTCTTCCCGCGTGCCCTTCCTTGCCTCAGTCCAAGCTCCGGGTTTTCCGTCCCTGCTCTCAGGAGCCTCAGTTTAACCCCAACGGTCCCCGTGGTTTTCACGCGTGCCTCTCTCCTCTGCCCAGTTCCTCTGCGTCCCAGGTTTTCCCGCATGCTGGCCTCTCTCTGCCATTTCCCAGGTCGGGTCTCTGACTGCTCCTCTCTGCCTCAGTTTCCCCCCGCAGTCCCGGGGTTTTCCCACGTGCCACCCTCTCTCTGCCTCAGTTTCCCCCCTGCGGTTCCAGGGTTTTCCCGCGTGCCGCCTCTCTCTGCCTCAGTTTACCCCCCCACGGTTCCGGGGTTTTCCCACGTGCCCCTTCTCTCTGCCTCAGTTTCCCCCCGCGGTCCCGGAGTTTTTCCCGTGCTCCCCCTCTCTGCCACCCTCAGTTTACCCCCGTGGTCCGGGGTTTTCCCGGCGTGGTACCCTCTCTCTGCTCAGTTTCCGTCACGCGTCCCGCGTGCCCCTCCTCTGCTCAGTTCCCCACGCGGTCCCGGCGTTTTCCCGCGTGCTCCCTCTCTCTGCCTCAGTTTCCCCACCACGGTCCCGGGGTTTTCCCGTGTGCCCCTCCTCTCTTGCCTCAAGTTTCCCACCCGGTCCGGGTTTCCGTGTGCCCCCTCGTCCTCTGCTCAGTTTCCCCCCACGGTCAGGGTTTTCCCGAATGCCCCCTCTCTCTGCCTCAGTTTCCCCCCCGGGGTTCCAGGGTCTCGTGACTGCCTTGTTCTGCCTCAGTTTACCCCGCGTCCGTCTTCCCGCGTGCCCACTCTCGCCTCATTTCCCCCCGTGGTTAGGGTTTCGCGCGTGCCCCCTCTCCTCTCTGCCTCAGTTCCCCACGGTCGGTTTTCCCTGTGCCCCCCCGTCTCCCTCTCTGCCTCAGTTTCCCTTGCGGTTCTGGATTTTCGCGCCTGCCCACTCTCTGCCTCAGTTTCCCCGCAGTCTGGGGTTTCGCGTGTGCCTCTTCGTCTCCCCTCGCCTCAGTCCCCCGCGGTTCTGGAGGGGCACGCAGGCGGACTGAAGATAGACTCTCAGGTCGGGACGAAACAGAAATAGAGGCCGGGACGCAGCCCGCACTAGGACCCTTAGAACACTTCGCGCGTCCAGGCGAGACGGGAGGCTGAGAACCGGAGGCCGAGACAGTGCGGGGGGGGGCGGCGCTCCAATCGGTCTGTTGACCCAAGAGGGCAGGCGGGGTCACCGCAAGTAGCTCAGACCTCGGGAGGCTGGTGTGGAGCTGGCGGGGCCTCTATCCATTATTGCAAGAGTGGACGGCTGGCAGTAGAGGCCGGGTGGCCTCTACCCTATTTGCAGGTGGAGCCTGTGTGGAGCTGGCTGGCCTCTACCCATTTTGCAGATGAAGGCACCATGAGGCTGGCTGGCCTCTACCCTTTTGCAGAGTGAAGGCCAGCATGAGGCTGCTGGGCCTCTATTCCATTTAGCAGCACGAAGGCCACAGTGAGGCTGGTGGGCCTCTACCCATTGATGCAGATGAGCCTGAGTGGAGGCATGTGGGGCCTCTACCTATTGCAGAGTGAAGCCACAGTGGAGCTGGCCTGCTCGTATCTGCATTTTGCAGAGTTGAACCTGGTTGAGGCTGTCTGGCCTCTACCCATTTTGCAGATGAAGGCTGGTGTGGAGGCGGCTTACACATTTTGCAGGTGAACCCGGCGTGGAGCTGGCGGGGCCTCTATGCATTTAGAAGTGAAGGCCACAGGGAGGCTGGCTGGCCTCTACGCCATTTTGCAGAGTGGAGCTGTGGTGGGGCTGGTGGCCTCTCTCCATTTTTCAGACTGAAGGCCAGCAGTGGAGGCTGCTGGGGCCTCTACCCATTTTCAGAGTGGAGCCTGTTGGTGGAGCTGGTGGGGCCTCTACCTACTTGTTGCACGAGTGAAGGCCAGCAAGTGGCTGGCTGGGCAACTCTATCATTTTGCAGATTAGCCTTGGGGTGGAGGCTGGCTGGCCTCTACCCATATTTGCAGATGAAGCCAGCAGTGGAGGCTGCTGGGCTCTACCATTTTGCAGACTGAAGGCCAGTGTGGAGGCTGGCTGGGCCTCTATCCATTTTTTAGAGTGAGCCGGTGGGAGCCCGGGGCCCTACCCATTTGCAGATGGGAGGCTTGGCAGTGAGCTGGCAGGACCCTTCCACTTTACAGGAGTAAGGCCCAGGTGGAGGCGGCTGGGCCTCACCAATTTGCAACGAGCCAGCAGTGAGGCGCTGGGCCCTACCATTATTGAACTGAAGGCCGCAGTGAGGCTGGGCCGGGCCTCTACCATTTCGCAGAGTCGAAGCGGCGGTGGAGCCCCGTCGGAGCCTCTACCCTTGCAGCGCGGAGGCCGGCGGCGGAGGCCCGGGCTCTCCCCGAACGCTCCCCAGCGTCATCTCTCATCCTTCTGTGTCCCAACCCTGCCAGGCGAAGGCCGCCCGGAGGCCCGCCGGCGGTGAGGCCCGGCGGTGGTGAGGCCGCGGCGAGGCCCGGCGGCCCGACTGCCGCTGGTCGCGGAGGCTCTGGCCGAGACCGCGTGGAGGCTGCGCTGCGCGCTGCGGGCGCCGCTCTGTCGACGTAGAGCCTCGAGCCGCCTCCTGCGCGCGCGGGCCCGCGCAGGTGCTCGTGTTCGGCACTCGGTGTCGACGCACCGGACAGCGCCCAGCTGCAGTGGCTGCCACTCCGTGCACGGCGCCCGCAGCGGGCCGGAGCTCGCCTGCCTGCAGGTGAGGCCGGACGGAGACCGAGGGC